CAAACTAAAATTAGAATATATTAATGATTATTTACTTTAGGTATAAAAACTGTGCTCGTATTGTGACAGTATTAATGATGTTTCTCAATAACACATAGCAAACTTGTGATTGCTTTATTCGCACATAAATTATAGGCAAAATATGCTAAACTAAAAACAATTAGTAATAGTGATAAAACTTCGCATCACGCCCGTTTCTTTGTATGAATAATGAATGTTAAGTTTATTGTCTTGTAACATCTGAATCAGTAACTATTCGACAAAAAAAAATTACAAATTGACAACTATTATCCTATCTAATTACACGAATCAATTTATTCAAGTCGACTAATTACATGTTGCGCAATTGCATATCTATCGCTTTCTTTAAAATCGAATTTATTCATGCACGTTATTTCTGAAAATAAATTTATTTACCGCATTATCAATCGTATAAAAGCATAGTACAACTAAAGTTGTTTGCGCAAACGTTAATTTCGGTTCAACGGAAATTTTCGATTACACATAAGCTTCTACTAACTATATTTGGATTGATGCTGGCAAGCTTCGAAATAACAAAATCTTCGAATTTAGTTTAACGGGAGCTACTATGTATGTAGATTGCATTCAAAGAACATTATGTCAATATCATTGTAGTTTTTAAATAGTGTCAATCTTCATGTTATGTTCAGCTAATTCTGTTAAAGTATGCTTTAAACTTGCGCATGTTGCTTTTTGCCATCATTGTTGTTCGCTTTATTATGACTAGTAAATTAATTTTTATAATTAGTAAACTGCACATTCCATAAATTTCTGAATATGAAGTAATGGAGCAAGACAAAGGTGCTGATCATTTCACTAAAAACAACATTTTGTTGGCTTTGCACAAATAACCTTCATAAGTTATATATTTTTCGACAATGAGTATGTTTACGTGTCATAATTGATTACATAACACGACTCATAATACAATCGTTTTCCATAAAGTATTATCAAACTACACACGTAGCAGACTTTGCAATACATTTTTTCATGTAATCTGTTATGGTTTCTTATTACACTTTGTATTAATTTTTGATAGAATGTTTCCTATTCTTAATACACCTCAGTTGGAACAAACACCCACTTTTCCATTGTTCCAATCAGCTAAAAGCGTCCCCACCCGACCACAGCTAACTCAGATAAGAGCACCATTGACGACAACGTTACTTTCTGATAATTTTTTGTTTATGACCCAACTAGCTTTATTGGTGTACGCAATTCCTTTGTCTTAAATAACGTGGATTATTACACAAAAAAGTCAACATTTATCAACGCTATGTGATAATAGTGAAATATTTTGAAACAGAACATGCATATTAGAAAATTAACCATTTCGTTTTGGTAATTTGCGTGGGTAATTGAAAAAGACTATGTTTGTATTACTGTGTTAGCTCAAGATACGTAAAACAATGTCGCCTCAACTCTTTGTTGCTAGGCTATATAATAAGTGGCAGAGAGCGAATATTTTTGCCCATTTTTCACTGACGAAGATGTTTATACGTTCTGTGAACAACGATACTCAATTCTCATTCACCCATTGTCAATCGAAGATGTTAAGAAATTATGTTGTACAATCCGTTTCGGTTCACTAGAACAAAGGTAATGATTAGTTTGAAGATATAGTGTGTAAGAGAATTTAATTTTCGCGAAAGAAAACGTACAGTACATGGTATTTATCCATTGAGAATATAAATCTTGCTCGAGATAGGTGAATACAATTTGAAGTTCTGGCTTTGGTCTTGTTTAAATTTATTTGATTGCAACGGCTAATGTTTGGGTAGTTGGAATTACTCAAGAACCGTCCACTCGTAGATATTATTTGGTTTTCTATTATGAGTTACGTCAAATGTTAGACAGGATTTTAAAACTTCATGAATATCGATATAATCCTACTAAGTACGTGTTACATGCAGTATGATGACTTTTACGAACTCAAAGAGATTGGATCTGGTGGTATAGAACAGTCTATGTTGCCAAATGTAAAGGCGATTTGCAGGCACGGGGTATACCAGAAACTGTTATACTCAAACGCTTTAAGAATTTTGATAAACACCTGAATTATTTATCAATGAGGTGAGTTAATTTTTGATAGTATTAATTAAAATGGTATTTTATCTGACTTCATATTTATTTTGATGACTAGTTCGTAAACTATATCAAGTGCGCTGCTACTCTGGTCTATTGCTTGAAATCTATGGAGTGACGCAGGCCCCAGAAACAGAAGAATACAATATTGTTACGCAATATTTTGACAATGATAATCTTTTGTCTTATTTGCAGCGAAATATTAACGAATTGACGTGGAGAGCGAAGTTAGATTATTTGCGTGTTAATTGCATCTAATCTTCGTGCTATTCATCGTAACGGATTAATGCATTGTAACCTTCATGCCAGAAACATAATTTTTGATGATCGGTATAAACCACATATATGCGATTTTGGCCGTTCTCAATTAGTAAATTTACGTCAACAGAATTTAACCATTCAAGGCATTTCCCACTTTACTGCACCACAAGTCTTTCATACTCGCAAATTTACTCGGAAATCAGACATATATTCTTTCGGTCTTATTATGTATTTGGTGGCTACCGGTGAACCAACATTTGGGTATAGAGAATTCGATAAAAGTTTAGTATGCGATATTATGGGCGGACTACGGCCATCGATGCCTGATCCGCACCAGGTAAATACAAGAAACTTGCTGAGCGATGCTGATCCTGATAAGCGTCCTGATGCAGGTACACTCTTGGATAATATTTATAGGCTGTTTATAGACAAGATAGACAGTAACAAGAAACAGTTATGATATTGATTCAATTGCAGGTATGACGAAAGCAATTGGTTAACGTGCTGATAAGTGAATTTCAATTAACCTCGTCCATTGTCTATAATTATTAGTAACTCACAATTTTGAATGAAACGGTCTTATGAGTTTTGTTTAAAAATTTAGCAATCGTTATAAATAGAATGCTCGACATGAATTAAAAACAAAAATGGTGCACGATATATCGATGCGATGAAACTAAACTAGAAGTTACTTATTCTTAACAGAGTATTTTGAGTATGTAAGAAAAATTAAACATTTATTATTTAAATATTGAGAACTAACAATATACTGTTTTTTGCTATTACGTCATTCGAAAACGTTCTTTTGGAGGTGGATAAACTTTTGCTGTTGTTCCTGTTGAGTCATGCCTGAAATGAAATGGACGAACGACAACGCGTTAGAAATTCGTAACGGTTTATTCGATGAGGGCTGATTGACGGTTGGCATTCGTGGAAATATGACCGTGTTTAACTTTTGGCAACGTTAATCTCTCACCTACAAGTTTATTACGTAGTAAAAGGGAAACTCAAAGTAGAAATGGGAAAATATTGTACAGATTACTTTTCCCACCATTGGCCAATTCTAGATGGATGCGCTTCACGGCGTTAATCTTTTGAAGCTCTCGGAAAATAGCGGATACTTTTGTTCTGCTAATGAGATCGTTTTTCTCACAAGGAGTGTAATCCGATTGTTTTGCAAGTTTTCTAGCGAAAAGAAA